GGGGGGGGGGGGGGGGGGGGGGGGGGGGGGGGGGGGGTGATGAGTGGAATGAGATGGGGGACAGGAACGGTGGCGTGCTACTCAAGCGAGGCTCGAGGGTTTCCGTATGATCCAGTGATGGGTGGTGCGGGGGTTCATGGGTACATGTGGGCGGTGGGCTCGCGTACTGCGGCGGAACATCGTATCAATGGTTTGAGGTGGGTCTAGGAGTACAACGTACCAGGACCGTGTAGGCTCACTCCTGGTGGATCGGGGACCGGGCGGCTTCATGCTTTAACGGGTACATCGGGGAGAACTGGACCAACGACTCTGGCTGCATCAGGCAGTGGCTGGAGTAGGCGGCGAGGGGGAGGAGGATGTGCTAACGGGGGGCGTGGGGGGTGGTATCCTACGATGGAGTGAGTAGTTCTCGCGGATGGGGAGTGAGGGAGGTTGGCTGTACTGGACTGCTGGTGTTGAGGCGCATCATCGGCTGCTGCCGGCGTTGGCGGGGATCGTTGTGCTGAGGGCTATCGTGGGGGTGCTGGGGGAGTGCTACTGTTCGAAGTGAGGTGAGGTTCGTCCTCTGGCGTTGGGGGTGGTGTTGTCGTGGTGCTCTTCGGGGTGGGGCTTAGGATGGCGATTGGCATGGGCGTTGGTGGCTGGTTGCGTTGTTGGTGGGCTTCGGGTGGCTCTTGTTGGTTGGCTGGCTTCCTGAGAGGGAGGGTGGCTGGGCGGTGGGGGCTATGTTGGGGCGCATCGGGGCATGGCTGGCTGTGGTGATCGTTGGGCTTGGCTTCGTGGCAGCTGCTTCAGTGATGGAGGGGCAGTTGTGGGTGCTGGTTTCGGGGGTGATCGCGGGACGAGGCTGGTCGCTTACTGGGAGGCCTGGTGGGCTTGTGTTGACTGGGTGATGCCGCTTGGAGGGTGGGGTCCTGCTGCTGCTTCAGTGATGGGGGGTTCCGTATGAGGATCTTGGGTTGGGAGGTGCGATATGCTCCGCTACCAGGTCCCATGAGAACCCACGTACGGGGGGAGTGTTGCCGCCATGCCATCGTGAGGTGGGGTGGAGAGCGGTCCTAGGATCCGGCTTTGGCGAGCTCACCGCGTGGGATCCTGGTGACACAGGGGCAGGGGGTGACTCTCATAGAGACTGTGGCTGCATGCATGTTCTCCTGCTACATCCTGAGTGGGTGGATGCGGGTGTTGACCGCGGCGTCCTCCCTGTTCGGTGGGTTTGCTTCGTACACTAGGGCTGGCCGTCGCTCGTATCTGTGGTAGGGTGGAGTGGGGAGGTCACGATGAGGGCTTCGTGCTCTGGACAGACAAGCCGGGGTGGTTGTAACGTGTACGGGGGGCTGCATCGGAGGTGGAGTCGGTCACCTACTGCCGTTGTCCCAGAAGTGGAGGGCGGTGCGGGGTGGCACGGTTCATAGTGATCAGGGTTGCGGGTGCTTGAAGGGCTTGGGTTCACATACTGATGACAACACCGTGTCACATATCGTTGGCTTTGGCTGCGATGGGCGTTGGTATGTGGGGAAGGGTCTGGAGGGGCTTGGGCTGTGGTTGCTGCTGCAGGTTCCTGGTTGCCTCGGGGCTGGGGGTCGTGGCCATTGGTGGTTTCTAGTCAGGGTGGTCTTGCTGGTGGACCTTCAGGGAAACTGGTGGGGTGATTGTGGGGTGGGGCCGCCGGTTGTGTGAGGTGGTGGTTCATCGGGTGCATATGTTCATCCGGTGGGTTGCTGCTGGGTGTCTGGTGCTGGACAACGTTAGGGTGGAGTGCTGGGCTGGGTGATGGGGTTCTCGTCGGTTGTGTTGGCGGGGTCGCGTATCGCATCGTGGGATGAGGGTGGTAGGTACGTAGGGGTGGGCCTCAGCTGCACTGCTGGGTAATTGCCATTGGGTGACGGTGCTCTACGGGATCCTGTTCACGAGTGGTTTGGCCGCCCATGACCGCTTGGTGTAGGTGGAACATCCCAGGCTCATGTCCTGGGGAAGGGGGTTCGAGTCCCTCAGCGGTTGTCGCTGTCATAATCCAGAGTCTCGCTGAGCTGTCCTCCTTGTCAAGAGGTTTCTGGAACATTTTCATTTGTTGGGTTTGGATCATTATTGGTGGAGATATGAGGGTTTGAAGTTGGTGCATAGCTCTGTGGAAATGTTGAGG